ATGAGCAACTCCAGATCTTCAAAAGCATGTTCAATCACTGCAGATTTTTTTTTTTTTTAGTTCAACAGCAACCACTCTACAAGGGTAAAGCCATTAAACCATGGGAATTCTTGTTCAGATTTGGTTTGGCTTGTCATGAAAACATGACAGTTTGTATCGTCATTTATCGATAAGATGGGGAAAAAAGATTAAATCATCATTACAAGAGTTGTACCAGGTTTCCACGGCAATATGCACGTTTTCAAATCATGCAACTATTTTATTTTGCAAGGTACATTCATATTCTACGACTTGTTGCCAAAATAGATACCGTACATATCTACTGGTGGTCCCCATTTCAGTAAATATACTTACCAATTAATTTAAGATCTAGCAAAATTTGTCATAAGGTAGGACTTCACCTAGGATTCTGGATTGACAATAACCGTAGTCCTGCAAAATGATTTAAGTATTGCACCAATTTTAACGTGTTGCAATTAAATATAAAAAAGACATTGATTGCATCAGACAGCTCAGACATCCAAGGAAGTGTTATGCCAGCATTGAGACTGACGTCCCTTTGGTGGAAACTGCGAATGTTTTGGAATTGTTTCATCATTGCTATTATGTATTGAGAAGTAATATATTTCACATTGTAATTGCCTAACCTATGACCCATCACCGAGGTTATGTGCTTTGCAGCAATAGTTGTAATGCATATTACATTTATGACACTACCCCCCCCCTTCCAGGACAACCAATAATAACAATCTGGATTGCTTACCAATCTCGTATTGATCCATTTTGAAAGGTACAAGACCTGTCAAGAAAAAACACACAATCATTTACATATTCTCGCACTGTATAAATGTGCGCTTTTCAAGTCGAGTGCTTGGTTCAGATTTGGTTTGGCTTGTCATGAAAACATGACAGTTTATATCGTCATTTATAGATAAGATGGGGAAAAAAGATTAAAATCATCATTACAAGCATTCCAATCTTAATAAATTGAAAAATAAAGCAGCAAACTGGTCAATACTTTCCATAGATGGTTAGCTTACCTCAACATTCCCTTTATCGGCCAATTTAGTTATCTGCAAGAAACATAAAGTGTTATTATTCACTGAATAATGGTGGTCTGAACTGATAAATCAACATTGAATAATTCAATTTAATAACAATAGTTATCAACTCTTCAAAGCAGACACTGAACTAAGTATATTTAAATTCAATTTAAAGCCAATTTCTGAAATTATCGCTATGCATTACACTTGAATTGTCATGGGCATCTCATAATATCACAAAGTCAGCAGCAATAATCTCTGATCGGCGAGTGAATATTACTAATCATGGATACCACATGTAAATTATGTTCACTGGGGCAGTTTTGGCTTGTGCATTCATTCCACACGGCAAATTAGTTTCATTTTAAAACCTCCCAGATAATATTAGAAAGATTTGCAAAATATATCTTACTTTTCTGGTGGCCAGCATTTTGAATCCAGTGCTGCAAACTATTTTAATTCTTTCAATAGTCATCTGAAATAAAACCAGTATTGATATTAAACATTGTGGTTATTTAATTTTAATTAGACATTGCTTGTGGTTGAAGTAGCATCTCATAGTATCATAGTCAACAGTTTTCATATCTGACCGGCGAGTGAATATTTTTAATCATAGATACCACAATACAATCTTCTAAGCGAGTTTAAAATTGCATACATCGAAAACGACAAAGCTCTTAGCAAAACGTACCTTTATTAATTGCTTGATTTCTGGTCCACGTTTCTAGCAGCAAACTATTCTTTCAATTTATCTGAAACAAAAACAATTATTAAATATTGAGGCTATTTGTTTTATTTTAGAAGTTATTGGTGTGGCGGTGGCACCTCATAATATTATAGTCAACAGCTTTCATATCTCTGACCGGCGAGTGAATATTCAAATCATGGATACCATATATAAATTACATTCACTGGAATTTTATTATTGTGCACTCATTCCACACAGCAAACTAGCTTCATTTTAAAACATACCTTCCTGGGGGCCAGCATTCGGAATCCTGTGTTGCAAACCATTTTAATTCTTTCAATAGTCATCTGAAATAAAATTAGTGTTGATATTAAACATTTTGACGATTTTATTTTAATTGCATATTGTTTGTGGTAGTGGCACCTCATAATATCGTAGTCAACAGCTTTCATATCTCTGACCGGCGAGTGAATATTCTAATCATAGATACCACATGTAAATTACAATCATTGCTGAAAATTGGGAAAAACTTAAAACCTTAACAGAATTAGTCTAGGTTCCACCGAAAATGCACTTGTGATAGTATTTAGGATGAATAAATATTTAATCAGTAACATACCTTATGTACATTGCATCACACATCAAAATTCTGAGGTCAGT